TAAGGATTTTCTGCTTTAACTCATTCATTCTCCTCTTTTGTATTATATTCAATCATCTTTCCACAATTACACTAAAGCTTTATTACCTTCCACTAAGTCATGTTGTTCTAATTGCCTTTCCATTGACGCCTCGTGTCAGATCAGCATTTGTCTTACAAAAAGCCATACCTTTCAGTGTTAAATGAAGTTTCAGAGATTTATATTCAAATCCAGGGAATATTTACTGAGTGCTTAATGTGTGCCAGATACTTGTTTAGGTACTGAGGATCCTGCAGTGAAGAAAACACTCAAAAAATCCCTCCCCTCATGGAGCTTACATTCTAATGAGGGAAAATAAATAACATAAATGAGATGCATAGTTTGCCATATGGTGGTTGCTTTAATGGAGAAAAACAGCAGAATAGGGGAAAGGAAAGTCAAGAAAAGAGGGTTCAGTTTTAAATAGACTTGGTATGGATGCCTCCCTGATGAGACATTTGTGCACAGATCTGAAGGAGGTGAAGGAGCAAGGCAGGTGAGTGGATCCCTGAAGAAAGTTAGACAGACAGGGGGAAAGGTCCTGAGGTGGGGTCGAGGGGCGGTGTCTGGCCTGCTTGAGGAACAGCAGAGAGGCCAGCTGGCTGAAAGTGACTGAAGGACAGGAGAGGCAGCATAGCAGAAGTTCAGGGCAGAGGGGCAACAAGGCCAGATTGTGCAGTCTTACGGGCCACTGAAAGGACTTTGGTTTTCCCTAAATTATGATGCAAAACAATTGAAGCATTTTGAACAGAGGAGTTAAGTTACCTTACTCTTGTTTTAAAAATATTTCTCTGGCCGCTAACTGGAAACAGACTGTTGTGGGAGGGGAAGCACGGAAGGAAGAACAGGAGGCTGTTGCTCTTGTCCATGTGAAAGCTGATGGTGGCGGCAACCACAGCGATAATGATAGAGATGATGAGACATCGTAAATCCTTAATGTGTTTTGAAGAAACACTATCAGGTTGTTGATTGAATTGATGAGAGTGAGAGAAAGAAAGGAATCAAACATGATTCCAAGATTTTTGGTGTTAGCAACAAACAAGAGAGAAGCCTGAAGGAAGAGCAGATGTGTGGGACTGAGGGTTAAAAGTTTAGCTCACCACATGCTATATTGGCAAAATCTATTAGACTTTCAAATGGTGATTAAGTAGGCAGTGCAATACAGGAATCTGGAGTGAAGAGAAGAGTTATGGAGTGGAGCTGGACTCTTGTGAATGGATGAAGTCACCAGCGGAGCCAGTATAGATGAAGAAGATGCCCAAAGAGTGAGCTCCGAGGCTTTCTGGAACTACAACAGGAAGGGATGAGGAAAAACCTGCAAAGGAGACAAGAAGTAGCCTGCAACGAGGTAAGAAGAAAACAAGGAGTGTGTGGTGCCCTGTAAGGCAAGTGAAAAATGTGTTTCAAGGTAAGGAAGGGGTCAGCCAAATCCAGCACTGCTGCTGGGTCATGTTAGATGAGGCTGAAAACTGGTCATTGAATTGAACAATGTGGTGTGCTCGGTGGACATTGACAGGAGCAGTTTTGGCGGATTGTTGGGGGCAAATGCCTGACTATATTAGTTCAAGCAAGAATGGAAATGGGGGCCGGATGTAATGGCTTATACCTGCTAATCCCAGCACTTTGTGAGGCCATGGCAGGCAGATCATTTGAGCTCAGGTGTTTAAGACTAGCATGAGCAGCATGGCAAAACCTTGCCTCTACCAAAAATACAAAAATTAGCTGGGCTTGGCGGTGCATGCCTGTGGTCCCAGCGACTCAGGAAGCTGAGGTGGGAGGATTGCTCGTGCCCAGGAGGTGGAGGTTGCAGTGAGCCGAGATGGCGCCACTGCACTCCAGCCTGGGTGATAGATTGGGACCTTGTCTCAAAAACAAAAACAAAAACAAAAGAACTGAAGTGGGTAATGTTCAGTACTAGAATAGTTTTAAGTCTTTGACACCAGATTTGAAAGTGGCCCTTTCACTCATAGACAGTCTTATTTTTTATTAAATATTATGAAACAAACTCTGTTATTGAGTTTGTATTTACAAATCACACTTAAAAAATCATTATATATGACTAAAAAAGGGAAAATAAAATAGATGATTATAAACCATAGCAAAATAAAGTCGTCTGTATAGATAACGTAATCTATACAAGCATTCTCAAATTTGGGACTCAGTTTAGACATTACCCTTAAAAAATATTACTAGCCATGGAAAGAATAGTATTACCCTCCATGGCCAACTTTAAACTTACTCACAAACCTCCAGGAAATTCCTAGAATAGTCTCTACTTTCTAAATTGATACAGACACAGAATGTTGCAATGAGAGCTGGCAAAAGAAGACAGATTATGATGACAGTTTTATTACTGTTACTTGACCCTGAGTACTCAAATTTAATTGGAAGGTAAGTCAATTATCTTGGAAACTATTCTAGGAATTAAGTAATTCTATTATAATCTGTATTATCTCCACTGTTTCCACTCAAGCTTCAAATAACTAAAGAAATACAACTTGCCTGCTACTTAGGTGTAATAATATGTTGCTTTTCAGTGGTGGGATGCTTTTAAAGTACAATTTAACAAGCGTCCAGTTAGAGACCTAGAGTTTTCAGTGCTATCTGGATATCAAAAAGATTTGAAACGATGATGCATCATAGTTATTTCCCTTTTCTGCAAAAGGCAACCTTGTTAATTTAGGAGTGTGCAACATGTTTTTATTGTCTGTCTTTCAGTATCTCAAAATTCAACACTCATTCCTTTCATTGTATAAACCAGTTTAAACCAATACTCAAGAGCTCTCTTGTCTATACCTGTGCTCATTTCACTCTCAAACTTTTGGGCTTAAATTACTTTCATAAGCAATTAAGTTTGGCATGCGACCGAAAGTAGACTTGTCTTTTTCAAGCTTCCAGAATTATCTAGAACAATCCTTATGATCTTATAACCAGCAATTTGTCACTGTTCTCTCAAAAATTAGCCAAAATATGAAACACCTTTAGAAACAAAGTGAAGTGAGATAGTTAGGTCCGCCTCTCTGTCAATCATGCCTGCCCTTGAAGAACTCATAATGTTACTAAGTGAGGAAAAGGGGATGATCAGTCCCAACTGGCCTGAGAAATTTTTATAGTTTTTAAATTGGAAAATTCTTACCAAAGAAAAAAAATATGTAAAAGAACATCTGTTATTATACAAAAAAATAGAGAGAAGAAGGGATATGAAGGAACGTAAAATATACCTGGAAATACAGGAAGCCAGCATACTTAGAGCATAGTCTCCTTCATTATTTTACCAAGATAAGAAAGTCCGAATACAAAGAAATGAGGTTGAGGTTGCAAGTTACACATGCCCATCATTCTGATTATCTTGTGGTCCCCAAATATAAATAATGTTATTATAACCAATGAAAATGAACTAATCATTCAAGGAATAGCTACATAGTACCTTCTTGAAAGAGCTTATAGCATATTGAGGGAGACAGAATCATAGATATGTAATTATAATGAAATGCATTTAATGTATTAACAGATGGGGTATATCCCAAAGAGAATAAGATAAAACTTAAGAAAACTTAAGAAAACTCTGAAAATAGTGTTTTAATTAAGGGAAAAAATATACAATGAGGGCCTCTGCTTTAAAAAGGCTTGAAATGTAATGTAGTATTAGATTATGGTGGTCTTTTCTTTTCTTTTTTGAGATAGAGTCTCACTCTGTTGCCTAGGGTGGAGTGCAGTGGCACGATCTTGGCTCACTGCAACCTCTGCCTCCTGGGTTCAAGGGATTCTCCTGCCCCAGCCTCTCAAGTAGCTGGGATTACAGGCGCATGCCACCATGCCCAGCTAATTTTTGTATTTTTAGTAGAGACGGTGTTTCACCATATTGACCAGGCTGACATCAAACTCCTGACCTTGTGATCGGCCCACCTTGGCCTCCCAAAGTGCTGGGATTACAGGCATGAGCTACTGCGCCTGGCCTATGGTGGTGTTTTCCAAGTTCATTTTACAAGTAAAATAGTAAGGTTAACTGAAGCTCATCTTTGATCACTCACCCTATAATCCTATGAAGAAAATTATGTATATATATATATATAAAATATATGTATTATATATATATCAACATCATAAAAAATAAAGAGATAAATATGTTGGATTGGATTCCTGTTCTTACTTTTTCTAGAGTACAATTTATTTTATTCTTAGTATATATAATTTCTTTTCAGGCTGTATGTTTAAAGACTTGGAATTTTATGTAAGCTACAGTGAGAAAAGATTTTTTTTTTAATAAAAAATTAACAAATTCTTCAGTACACCATGCTTTATTTCAATATTGGCTGGTTTCAATGTGTTTTGCTACAAAGACACATATATCACTATAAAAAATATAAACACAGGCTTTAAAATAAGAAAACAATTCATATGATCAATTAGTCACTCAAAATAACCTTGACTTTGTGGAAAAACAGCATGTAAGCCTCATAATACTTTCTTTACTGTGTTATCAGATTAACAAGGATCTGCCTCACTTATACGCTTCCTTCTTCACTAAAACTTGGGAACTCTTTAAAGATTTATAAACTCCAAAGAGATTATAAAGATTCTCTTCCTTGCAGGGAAATGTAGAAAATAATGCATTTTACGATGACAGTATGCTTTATGAAAATAAATGCTATCTTAGATCACTTTACAGACTATGAATATGCTCTTTGTTCCTTTATGTATTTTATATCAGATGAAATTCCTCTTTCTCAACTCCCATAACTTTGACATCTGGAGAAAATTCATGGATATCAAAATCAGATAGCCTGTGTCCATCAACTGGTCAAAACTGCCACCTACTGGTCAGTTTTAAATCTAGTTTTCGGTTCATCCAAGCATTACTTTACCAAGGTAAGGTCCCTTTCTTCAAAGCAGTAAAGATCATTTACAATAACCAGGCTTAAAGCAAATATTCTTTTAAAAAAATTCTCTAGGGTGAACCAAAAATTACCAATTGCACAAACCTGCCGATAAAATCATCCCTTTTCCCAGCATCTTTGTCCCAGGCAGTGATATCAATGATTCCTCCTCTTTCTTCATAAAGGTGAAAATCAAATTGTTCCCTCCACTGAGGATTCAATGTTTTTGGCATAATCTGGAAAACAAGCAAAAAACATTATTATTGTCATATTGCTATCAGCTTTAAAAAAAAACCTTCAACCTGAGATAGTAAATCAAACTTTCAGTACTATAGTATCTAGAAGCATGCTGTGTACTACTTGAACAAAAGATTACAGAAATAATGGGAATGGCTCATTAGAACTCCAGCATCTTTACTGCATAATACCTGAATGGACCTTAATGAATGTGTCCTGAAAATCAAAAGACATTCTTTGATTATCTTAAATAACAGATAAGAAATATAAATTATATAGAAAAGATAATCTGTGAGTGAAATAGCTCACTCAGAGACTAGCAATATTTTATATAATCATAGTCAATGCATTAAGATATAACTCATAGTCATCTCATAATAAAGGAGGATGGGGATTTCCAGAGTTCTTTTTTCTTACTTGCCACACACATTGGAATCCTGACTTAAGTACATGAAAAATAGACAATGAAGTTCTGTAAAAGCAGAAGAAAAAAGCAAGTAGCTCTTGAGTGGTCAGGGAAACTTTGATCTTGGACTTACAGCACTGATGTAGTATTCTCATGTTATATATGGATAAGCTGAGATCTAGAGTTTAAGTGACAACCTAAAGTCAGTATTTTTTGGCATGTGGACACTAACTCAAAGTCTTTGACTAAAGCTTCAGGACTCTTCCCCCAAAACCATATGCCAAAATGTTGTTGAATTAATAAATGAATATATATGAGTATATACATATGTATACATGTATATATGAGCATATATATGTATGTACATATACATATTTGTGGATATACTCTTTGTGTTGCATATACAAGAAAGATATCTGAAATGTAATTCTGTAACTTCAAGTATTCAGATAAGTCATCTTGTACAGTAGAATCAATGAACAGAGTAAATGTATATTGATAAAAATGGAATTTTAAAATTCCATTCACCATTGGGTTAAACAACATTCATATTTGTTTCTTTGTTCTTTTTTTTTTAGGAGGAAGGCATGCAGTGGCCTTTTCTCTTTTTAATGTATGGCAGACAGATCTTCAGATGTAAAGAGTTTGAAAGCAATGAAGTATGTTATATGCAAAGGTAATGCAAATGAATCACAATTTTTAAAGTTCATAATCTGAAATTAATCAGCAATAGATCAAGGAAAGAAAGAGCAAAGAGAGACACATGTCCATTGCTGGGTTTCATATTTCATACCTAAAGAGCAGAACTATAAAAATAAGTAATGTTTTAAACCTACTAGAACATGGAAATGGTACTAACTAAGAAAGGACAAGATAGAAGTGGTCATAGGTACCTATTTTTGGAAACAGTAGCTACTTTAATATATGTTATTAAGCCCCATGGCAGAAAAAAATGACACTATGATAATTTAAATGTCTTATAATCAGGCTCAGATGAACTCCTATAGTATTTCGGGGTATGCTCTGTCTTTATTTATCTGGACTTAAACAGATGAAATTTTCAGTTTTCTTTTTTAGGATTGCCTTCCCTATATGATTTTCTTGAGGTCAGAAAAAATGCCTTCGTTTTCCATGTGGGCACTCCAATCAGCCTGCTGGCAGTACTCACTGCATGCTAATGACAGGCTCTGTGATATGTCAAACTACCTTAAGTACTAGTGAAAACTTCCTGGGCTGGAAGGGACCTAAGCAGGCTGTGTGTCAAAAATCCATAGAAAGTATGACACCAAGGTGAATAAATGGAATGTGATCTTTAATACTAGATGGATATGCCCAGCTGTAAAAACTGACCAGTAAAGAGGACACAGTTCATTCCAACAGAGATAAGATGACTTGGTTTGGCTCTGTGTCCCCACCCAAACCTCACGTCCTACTGTAACCCCCACAGGTTGGACAAGGGGCCTAGCGGGAGGTGATTGAATCACGGAGGCAGACTTCCCTCTTGCTGTTCACATGATAGTGAATCGTTCTCACAACATCTGGTTGTTTAAAAGTGTGTAGCACTTCCCTTTTCACTCTGTCTTGCTCTGCCATGGTACGACATGCTTGATTCCACTTTACCTTCTGGTATGATTCTAAGTTTCCTGAGGCCTCCCAGTCATGCTTCCTGTACAGCTAGCAGAACTGTGAGCCAGTTAAACCTCTTTTCTTCATAAATTACCTAGTCTCAAGTAGTTCTTTATTGCAGTGAGAACAGACTAATACATAAGACATGTGCCAAAAATGTAGTTATGACTACTAGACCCTTCTTATTACTTCCATCACTAATATTATTAATATATTATTACTACTAATAAAATTCATACTGTACAAGATATTTCTTACTATTGTTACTCTTCCTTTTCTTCTGCTATTTTCATTTGCTGAGTGTTTATGAGCAAGGCAGTATTCTAAGCCCTTTACATGCATATGTTCACTTAATCTCAGCAACTTTGCTAGGTAGGCATTATTTTAATTCTCATTTTTACAGATGGGAAAACCAAGATATGGAGAGACAATGTAACTTGTTCTAATACATTTTAAAACTTGCTATTTGCATTGGTACAAGTCAGGTTGAATAAAGTGTCTAAGAGTAATGTACAAAGATTTTTATGGCATGTAAAATAATGGTATTTATAATACTGATGTTAGCCCTAGTTGTAATAATGTTAAAAGGCACATTCTTGGGAGGCTGCGGTGGGAGGATCATGAGATCAGCAGTTCAAGAACATCCTGGCCAACATGGTGTAACCTGTCTCTACTAAAAATACAAAAATTAGCTGGGCATGGTGGCTCATGTCTGTAGTCCCAGCTACTCAGGAGGCTGAGGCAGGAGAATTGCTTGAACCCAGGAGGCAGAGGTTGCAGGGAGTCAAGATTGTGCCACTATACTCCAGTCTGGTGACAGAGTGAGACTGTCTAAAAAAAGCCACACTCTTTGAGTACTTTATGTGCCAGGCATCAACTGTGTTGTTGGAGTGGTTGCTGTTGTTTTAATCCTTAGAGCTATGCCAAGAGATAGTTCCAGCCATTATTCCTAGGTTGTAGATGAGGATACTGGGACATAGACGTGTAGTTTACGTGAGGTCACCTAGTACATAAATTAAAAAATGCAATACAATTATAGGTCTTGTTTTCTGATATGATGTTCAAAAAAGTTTGTTAAGCATTTAAAAAATTATCTAGTGGTTTCATCTCCTAAAGCATGGCTATTAATCAACCAATGCCTTCCAAAGATTGACAGAAATACAGCAGAGATACGGTTACCTTGCTCTTGTACTTCTGATGCCCAAGCCGGAACTTCACGTAGGGGTCACTCAACCCATTGGAATCCATGGCCTTGAGGTCTCTCCCTTCAATCAAGGTGATGCTGACTATCCCTCTCCAAAGATGTGATTTTCTGTGTAGGTCTGATAGGCGTAAACTTTGGGTCTGAAACTTTTGGCAAATGAAAATTGAGTTAGGTTATTGTGATTTAAACCCAAATACCTCATTTTGGCATTACCTTTTCTCCTGCTGTTTTGATTCTTCAAAAAATAAAGGATAGGCAACTATAATTTTTAAAAATGAAAAATAATTATAAAGTAATTATTGTTAATTATAAAATTTTTAATAAATTATGAAATTATCATATGATAAATTTGTTGTGTAAAAGAGTTGAGTGTTCAAAATATAGTCTAGCTTTTCAATTCTTAAGATTACAAGATATAGGTACATCAAGAATATCAGAAAATATTTGCAAGTGTGCCAAATAGGCTTATGTCAAAATATGTATAAAATAAATGTTAGAATTATTAAAGGCCTCATTCATACTGTGGTATTTAATTTTTAAAATATTTATGTTTTTTGAAGATATCTTTATGTTATAGATAGATTTTACAGGTGGTTTTTAATTGTAAGATTAGTTGCAAGTTCTATTCAGATAGTTTAAAAACTTTTTTCTTGGCACATTAGGAGATTATTGAGCTTCAGATTGCTAAAGAACAATTTTAGTTGCCACAAAAGAGAAAACAAAATCAATATGTCCATGCTTATACCTAAAACTTTCATCACAAATATTTATAATTATGTTTAATGTTACATATGTGATTTATATTGGCAAGTATGTTTCTGGATTTATTTTACATTCGAGTATCTGAACATTTTCTTTAATGACTTTTCTTCTTCTTTTTTTTTTTTTTGAAACAGTCTTGCTCTTCACTTCACCCAGGCTGGAGTGCAGGGGTGTGGTCATAACTCACTGTAACCTCAAACTCCTGGGCTCAAGTGATCCTCCTATCTCAGCCTCACAAGTAGCTGGAATGACAGGCATGCACCACTGTACCCATCTAATTTTTATTTTTTATTTTCATTTTATTTGTTTTGTTTTGTTTTTAGAGACATCTTGCTTGGTTGACCAGGCTGGAGTGCAATGGTATGATCACAGCTCCCTGAAGCTTCGAACTCCTAGCCCCAAGTGATCTGCCTGCTTCAGTCTCCTAAAGTGCTGAGATTACAGACTTGAACCACAACACCTGGCTTAGACTATTATTAAAATTTGCAAGTCTACTAAAAATGGCTGTATAATCTCTTTAAACTAAAAAGGACATAAAACAAGCCATAGAAAGTAACTAAATGTGAAAACATTTTCAATCTGGATTTGGCATCAATCAGTACTATAAAAAGGACTTCTTTCATATTATCAAACGTGTTTTTCCTACATATAGCCATTTCATGAAGAAATTCAACATTCAATCTCAAAGCACACTGTTAAATTATGGATTAGCACTACTTTCTAACTAATCCCTTCTACATTAATGCTATAAAGCTACAACTTATTTTGTATAACTTTTCCTCCCACTCTGACTTCCTACCTTTTTCTATACCATAGCAACACCATAGGTTTTTTTTTTTTTTTTTTTTTTTT